TGTCTGTCTGTCTGTCTGTCTGTCTGTCTGTCTCTGTGTACACATGCCATGGCTGACTATGGAGGTCTGACTCCACTGTCTCTGGCTCCTCTTGTTTCTGCGCCTGTGCTGCCCTCTTCAGGCCAGCTGGCCGAGAAGCTTCCAGCTGGTTCTCCCATCTCCCCCTTCACATCTCACTGTAGGGTGCTGGAACCACAGATGAGCACAACTGCATCTGGCTGTTTCTGTGGGTTCCAGGCACCCAACTCGGGTCGTCAGACTTGCCGGCAAACGCTTTTCCTACAGAGTCATGAAATCAAACCAAAACATACCGTGCTAAATAAACTTGATCTTAATTCCACTCCTTCATCAGGTCAAAGACATCAATACATGAAGAGAACGGGCTAAGGACACATTAAAAGCGTATCTGGTGAATCACTGTAGTGCTGAGGGTCTGAGTTCAAAGCCCAGTGCTACCTGTAGCTGTGTGTAACCTAGGACACATGATTTAGCTTTTCTGTTGTTGAGTTTCCCATCTGTCAGCGGGGCCAATCAAACAGCGCTTCCCTTGCAGGGTTATCTGAGCAAGTGCGTTAAACAAGTTAATATAAAGCTCTTACCCAGCATCTGCTCACATTGTGGGGGCGAGGGCAGAAACAGCGACTCCCGTTACCTCATCATTCTGATTCCCTCTGGGCCTGCCTCAGTGGGATCAGGAATTAGAGTTGGCAGAATCAGAGATATGCTGGGCTACCCTCCCCAGCCTTAAGTATGCAGCCAAGACAACATCACCCTTTCACATGGCCAGACAAGATGAAGCTTTTAGACACACGAGGCTATGTGCAATGCTCAATGCTGAGGGATGAGAAAACCCACATCCATACTGCAACAGTCTTTTTCATTTAATAAAGAAGCCTTGTGTCCAGGCGAACAGGGTAAGCAGCCTTGTATCCTGGTGAACAGGGCAAGCAGCCTTGTATCCAGGTGAGCAGGGCAAGCAGCCTTGTATCCCGGTGAGCAGGGCATGGTGTGGACAGACAAGAGGCTGTCCACATCCGTCTCTAGGGCTGCAGGTTGCTTCTGTTGTTTCAGTGAACGGTTCTGTTTCCAGGACCCCTTTCTTTCACGTACTAGCTGCACGGCTGCTCAGTCTCCTGCCTATAGCACAATGAAATGAGAGGAAGACAAGACAGGAACAAACAGGAGGGAGTGGGTGGGCTAATCCCTGGAACCTTGACTTCCATGCACTCCACAGGTGTTCCACTCGCCTCACATGTGAGGTCACCACCCAACAGCCTGGGTAGAGGAAAGATTGATGTAGTTAGCAAGTGCACAAGCTACTGAGCCCCCAGAAGCACAGGACGGGCCAGCTGCCTGCTGTGGCACTTAGATGCCCAACCAAGTGTTCACTAGGTGACCTGTAGGGCTCTGATTCCTGCTACTGAGAAGCACTTGGTTATTTATTTGAAAGAGGGCCTAAGTTCTCACTATACAGTCCAGGCTGGCTTCGACTTTATGATAGTCCTGCCTTAACCTCCCGGGTGCTGGGTATACAGGCACCTGCCAACACAACCAGCCAAGAGGATTCCTGTCGGCAATTAATTTCCCAGCAGGACTCATTAGTGGCCAACAAATTCTTCTAACTGCACCAAGCAGCCCAGTGTTTGCCCACACTCTTGTCATAACCTCCAGAACTGACTTCCATCACATTTTCTCGATTCTCTCCCCTCAGTGCATTTAGTCACTCGAGGTGATGCATTTCTGTTCAAGTCCCAAAGATTCACACTCAAGATCTAAGTTTCCTACCACCCCTGCCCCCTTACCTCTCTGGTCTCACCTGTTTTTGTCTTCCTGGTTGGCTGCTCTTGAGAGAGAGAGCTCTGCTTCCCCACACCTGGTAGTTCTCTCTGTTATAAAATATTATTTTAAGGTGTGCTGTGTTTGTTTATGTTGCATTTGTTTAACTCTGTGAAGCTGTGTTACTGTGTCTGTCTAAAATACCTGAATGGCCAATAGTGAGGCAGGAGAGAGAAATAGGCAGGACTGGCAGACAGAGAAGATATATAGAAGGAGAAATCTGGCAGGAAAAAGAAGTAGCCAGAGAAGGAGGAGGACTCCAGGGGCCAGCCACCCAGCTACACAGCCAGCCATGGAGTAAGACTAAGATTTACAGAAGTAAAAGAATGGGAAAATCCCAGAGGCAAAAGGTAGAAGGGATAATTTAAGTTAAGAGAAGCTGGCTAGAAACAAGCCAAGCTAAGGCTGAGCATTTATAATTAAGAATAAGCCCCTGTGTGTGATTTATTTGGGAGCTGGGTGGTGGGCCCCCCAAAAGAGTAAAAAACACCAACAACACTCTCCCTGTCCCATCCCAAGTCCCTCTGCCCCACCAAGGGTCTTTCCGTACACTGTGCAACTTTCCATTCAGCGAATCATGGTCATAGGTTTAGCCATGTGCTTTCTTTCATTCACCTGTCCTGAAGATCATCTCAACGCATGCGACAGCTTTGCCTCTGTTATTTTTTTGACACCCCTGTAGAAGGGGAAGAGGCTGCCATAGGAGCAGCTGCCTTCTAAAGCACACGAGGCAGCAGCGGTCCCACAGCATTTCTTCCATGGTCCCTGACTCCTGAAAGCAGCCCACGGGCAGAGTGAGGGGCCAGGTTTGCCTGTGTGAGCTGCTGTCACACTTCCTCTCATTTCCTGGCTTCCTCCCATCCTGCCCTCGGAGAGACCAGGGCCTCCTCTTCGGGCACCCAAGTTGGCCTCCTTACCATACACATCATGCCATCTCTCCACGACGCTGGCTAAGGGTCAAGGCTTCACATGGAGGTTCGGAACAAAATGCAAGTGCGCGCCCCTGCCCCCCATTGTCAGCAGATCTCCTGCAGCCTCCCTCACCACCCCATGTCTTTGTCTCAGCTGCCAGCTCTCACAGCTCCCTGGAACCCACCCCCACCCCGTCAGGTCCACACTGGCCAGAGAAGCAGGTGGGTGACCTTCAGACCTTCATTCTCCCTCTTTTCCACATCCAGTCTCGCCCCCAGCTGGGTGGCAAACCAGCTGCTATGGACCCCCTTTCTCCTCTGCCCCACCTACGGAGGGTCACACAGAACTCCACGGACTGCCTCACCACCCCATGCCTTTGTTTCACGCAAGCGTTCCCTGGGAACTTGCCTGCCAGGGAAGCAGGTAGGCAGTCTTCAGATCCTCACCGTCCCTCCTCTCTTCCAAATCCAAAGCTCCAGTCTCACCCTCAGCTCCTTAGCAGATGGCTCTGGCCTCTCCTCCCTCTCTGCCCCGGGGGGACTCAGCAGATCCTGGTGGCACACCCTTCTTTCCTCCCTCCTGTGGACCCTCTCAACACCCTCTTCTAGTCAATCCCCATAATTTATTGTCAGCTCCCAATACGAAGAAACACCTTCTACCCAGAATCCCCAGTGGCCACATCTGGCAGGATCTCAGAAGCATTCCCTACTGGGCCACCCACAGCTACCACACTCTGCTAAGAACAAGAGAGGGCAACAGAAACCAAGGAATGGAACACTCACCCAACAAAGACAAGACCAGATACCAGAAATTAGAATTACAATCACCCCAAACCCAGATGCCTAGATGCCAGCCCCAAACCACAATCAATAATAATCCAAGCAATTTGTCTCCACTACAGCCCAGCAACCCTACCACAGGAGGCCCCGAGGAATGCAATAAAGCTAGAGCACCAGACAAGGACTTCAAAATAGCCTTTATGAATATGTGAGAGGTCCCTAAAGAGGAATGGATAAATCCATTAAAGAAATCTATGAAAACACAAACAGTGGGAGGAAGTGAAGAAAACAGTTCAAGACTTTCAAGTGGAAACAGAAGCAATAAAGAAAACCAAAACTGAGGGAAAACTGGAAATGAAAAATTTAGGAACCTCAGAGGCAACCGTCATCAGCAGAATATAAGAGGTACAAGAGAGACTCTCCGCCACTGAAGATAAGACAGAAGAAATGGATACACTGGTCAGAGAAACTGTTAAATAATTTTGTTTGTGGCCTGTGGTGCCACCAAAGGTCACATGGATGCCCAGAGTCTGGGCCACATTCTGTGACCATGTTGGCATCCAAGGGCTATGCTGCCAGGGCCATGCCGACCTGAATGTCCTGTGCTGTCACCTGGGGCCATGGTATTGTCCAGGCCTGGGCTGCTGCTGAGGGCCAAGTCTGGGTCTGTGAACCAGCAACAGCCAGGATCTGGGTTGATGTCTGTGGCTCCTTTTGCCACCAAGGGCTGTGCAGATGCCCAGGGTCTGGACAGCTACCTGAGACCATGTTGGTGTCTGAGGGCCTTGCTGCCACCAGGGCCATACTGGTCTGGGGTGGTCTGTACTGCCACTGGGGCCATGGTGACATCACTGTCTGAGCTGCTGCCGAGGGCCATGTCTGGGCCCATGGTCCTGCTGCAGGTGGGGTCTGTGATGATGTCTATAGCCCATGTTGCTACATCATAGGAACCTTGCATGTTGAAATCAGAGGGCCATGCTGAGCTGGCCCTGCCCCTCACTGTCCCTGAGGTAGCTGTCCCTGCCCCTTGTTGGACACTGCAGCAGGAGAGCTGGCCCTGCTCTCCCATGGGAGAGCTGGCCCCCACACTCAGGAGAGATGGCCCCACCCCACACCATGGGCATGGGAGAGCTGGCTCCACTCCTCGACTGGGGGGATGGTCCCAGTGGCCAGGACTGACCAGCTCAGCTACTACCCAGACCCACATCCTGAGCCTTCGATTGGCCCACCCTAACATCTACCCCATCTATGACCTGCTGGAGTGCGTGAAGGGACTGGTCCAGCGGAACAATGGCCGCAGGATCTCCATGACTCGGGGCAACAGCAGGATGTCTGAGAAGAGTTTTGGTGAGGGTCCAGTGATGATGGTGTGCCAGAGGACTTGAACCAGACCAATGACTCGTTGCAACGAACATTTTGTGGGTGGGGCTGAGTGGACAAAAGGGGTACACTGCATGACATACTGCAGCACCCAGTGCCACTAGGATGGATGAAGAGGTGTTGGAAATGGAGGAGTGAGGTGGTTTTTTTTTTTTTTGTGTGTGTGTGTTTTGTTTTTAATTGATTGGGGGGGGTTTCTTTGGAGGGGTGCTGCAGGGGTGAATGGAAAATATGGAGGGACTGGGAGGTGAGCAGAATTGGGGTACACAATGTGAAATTCCTAAAGAATCAATAAAGAATTGGTTTTTGGTTTTTTTTTTTTTTAAAGAAAATGTCAAGTCTAAAAAAAAAATCCAGGCACAAAACATCCAGGAAATCCGGAACACTATGAAAAGATCATATCTATAAATAATAGGAATAGAAGGAGGAGAAGAAATCCAGGTCAAAGGCACAGGAAATATTTTAACAAAATCATAGAAGAAAATTTGCCCAATGTAAAGAAGGAAGATACTAGAAGCATCCAGAACACCAAATACACTGGACCAGAAAAGAAATTCCCCCATGGCACATAATAATCAAAACACTAAACATACAAAACAAAGAATATTAAAAGCTGCAAAGGGCAAAGACCAAATAACATATAACCCATAACACCTGACTTTTACAAGGGAGATCCTAAAAGCCAGAAGAGCTTGGACACAGGTTCTACAAACTCTAAGAGTCCATAGATGCCAGCCCAGACTACTATACCCACAAAACTTCCCATCTCAATAGATGAAAACACAAATCCTGTGATAAAATAAAACTTAAGCAGTATTTCTCTACAAACCCAGCACTATAGAAGGCGTTTCGAGGCATATTTAGAAGGAAAACTTCAACCTGAAAAGGTTAAGCACACCCAAGAAAACACAAGAAATAAGTATCAGACCAGCAAGTCAAAAGAAGCAGGGTGTGGGGGTGTGACCCACACCATCACAAACTAACAGGATCAGTAAACACTGCTCAATGATAACTCAACCTCAATGCTCTCAATTCCCCAGGAAAAAGACACAGACTAACAGAATAGATTTGAAAACAGGATCCATCCTTCTGCTGCATCCAAGGAATAGACCTTAACATCAAGGATAGACATCACCTCAGGGTAAATGATAAAAGAAGATATTCCAAGCTTACAGATCTAAGACATAAACTGCTATAGCCATTTAAATATCTGGTAGACTTCAAACTAAAGCTAATCAGAAGAGACAGAGACAGTCACTACATACTTATCAAAGGAAAAAAATCCATCAAGAAGATATTGCAATTCTTAACATCTATGCACCATACATAAAAGCACTGGAATTCATAAAAGAAACACTATATTTAAGATATAGTATTTTAAATCAGAGCTGACTCTCACACACTCATAGTGGGTGACTTCAATACCTGACTGACACTTGCCAATAGACAGGCCACGCAGACAAAAACAGAGAAATGCTGGAGCTAAGTGATGTCATACCCAATGGACCTAACTTATTTACAGAACATTTCAGCCAAACACAGAAGAATATACCTTCGTCTCAGCAGCTATTGGAACTTTCTCCAAATTGATCACAGGTTTAGACACAAAGCAAGTCTCAAGAGATACAATAAAACTGAAATAACACCCTGTATCATGTCTGACCCTGACAGATTAAAGCTGGACATCAACAACAGAAACAGCAGAAAGCTTACAAACTCCTGGAAACTGAACAACTCACTACTGAATGAAAAATGGCTCAAGACAGAAATTAGTAAAGGAATAAAAAACATTCTAGCCGGGCAGTGGTGGCGCACGCCTTTAATCCCAGCACTCGGGAGGCAGAGGCAGGAGGATCTCTGTGAGTTCAAGGCCAGCCTGGACTACCAAGTGAGTTCCAGGAAAGGCGCAAAGCTACACAGAGAAACCCTGTCTCGAAAAAAAAAAATTCTAGAACTGAATAAAAATGAAGATAAAACAAACACAAAACTTATGGGGCACAATGAAGGCAGTTCTAAGAGGCAAGTTCATAGACATAACAGAAATAGCTTACATAAGGAAATTGGAAAAACCTCATGTTAGTTACTTAACAGCACACCCAAAAGTTCTAAAACAAGAAGAAATAACACTCAAAATAAGTAGATCGTTAGAAATAATCAAACTCGGGGCTGAAATCAATACAATAGAAACAAACAAAACAATACAAGGAATAAATGAAACAAAGAGTTGGTTCTTTAAGAAAGTCAATAAGATTGACAAGCTCTTAGCCAAAGTAGAGCGATAATAAAAGGTAGAGAGATAATACCCAAATTAACAAAACTAGATATGATATGAAAAGGGGGACATGACAACAGACACTGAGGAAATCCAGAGAATTATAAGACATTCTTCAAAAGCCTGTACTCTACCAAACTAGAAAATCTAAAAGAAATGGACAATTTTCTTTCTATATAACACCTACCAAAGTTAAATCAAGATCAGATAAGCATTAAACAGACCTGAAACCCTAGCAAAATAGAAGCAGTCATTAAAACCAAGGCTGGGCGGTGGTGGCGCACATCTTTAATCCCAGCACTCGGGAGACAGAGCCAGGTGGATCTCTGTGAGTTTAAGGCCAACCTGGGCTACCGAGTGAGTTCCAGGAAAGGTGCAAAGCTACACAGAGAAACCCCGTCTCTGGAAAAAAAAAACAATCAACAACAACAAAAAAAAACCCAAGGCCAGATGGTTTTATCACAAAATTCCACAGACTTTCAAAGGAGAATTAATGCCAATACTCCTAAATTATTCCACAAAATAGAAACAGAAGGAACATTGCCCACTTCTTTTTATCAGGCCACAGTTAGCCAGATACCTAAACCACATAAAGACTCAACAAAGAAAGAGAATTACAGACCAATTTCCCTTATGAACATAGATGCAAAGATTCTCAGTAAAACACTTGCAAACAAACAAGAACAAATCCAAATGATCATTATGATCAAGTAGGCTTCATCCTAGAGTTGCTGCAGTGGTTCAACATACCTAAATTGATAAATGTAATCCATTATAAAAGCAGACTGAAAGACAAAAAATCACATGATCATCTCATTAGATGTAGAAAAGACCTTTGACAAAATCCAACAGCACTTCATGATAAA